ATTGACCTTGCCACATGTAACATTGAATGTTGACAAAAGTATGTTTGCTGAAGGACAAGTGTATGTTGCAATGAGTCAAGCTCCCTCATTGGAAAAACTGCAAATCCTTGATCTTGATTATTCTCAATTAAAAAATTTCCAGGCAGTCTTGGAAGAGTATAAAAGATTGGAGGCTGTGAGCATTGATGGGTTGCAAAAACTAACAATGCTGTGTGATGATTACACGAACTCGCAGCAACCCATTAAAATCTTGTTAATCGTAATATTTAATAATATCAATAATAATAATAATAATAATAATAATAATAATAATAATAATATTGATATTGATATTATTACCGTTAACGGATTAACGGATTAACGGGTTGTAATAGTAATAGTAATTAATGGTATTAGTATTAGTATTAATATTAGTAATAGTAACACCAAATCCTATAATAATAAGCTAACCCGTTAACGAACCCATTATGCAAAATTTCTTTGTTAACCCATTAATTATCGGATAAGGTCTTAGCGGATCTTAACACTATGTTAAGTTCACTCAATATGACTAAAATTGGATAACTTGTTATAGGAACAACTTGCCGTGATCAAAAACGTTCATAGTAAAATATTTTATTTATATCTATGGGCTGCTTTTTTAAATTCTTCTCGTTTATCCTTTAAATGTTGCTGAACTTGGGGAGTATTTTCCTTTCGTTTTCGGTCTAGTTCTTTGATTGATTTTTTTTTATTACTAAATGTAGTTTCTTTGATTTGGCTGGAACTGGGTTAGAAGAAACTTCATTAGATCAAAAACATTCTTAAAAATCACGTAGGATTTTTCACAATTACACGATCAAAAAAATTTGTTGAATTATTATTATTTCAAATAATTAATTATCTACATCTAATCTAGAGCTCCAGTTGACCAGGATCAACATATACAGTGTGTTAAGGAAAAAATGGCGGGTTGTAAAATATTGTTTTAATGGGAAAAGTAGCCAGAGAATTGGAGGATCTTAGATTATAACATATAAAAATTTTGAAGCATACAATTATTACGCATTGAATCAAATTCCTTTTATTTCCCAATTGACAAAATCTAAAAATATGTTAAATGAATCTAAATTTATTTAATCATGTAATTGTTGAGATATGCAATTTTTTGTCACCGCCGTTTTTTTCTTAACACACTGTTATACATTAAACAGTAAATATATTACATTATAATATTAAAAAAAAAAAACGTATCTATAGTTAAACAATATATTTGGTAGTGAACAACCTTGTTACACGACCATCAAGGAAAATATTATTACCAGAGAGGTATTATTATTATTAATTATATTTAGTAATTATATTATGAATCAATTAATACCTTATTCTTTTTTCAGAAAAAAAAACTAATCTACGATTAGACAATCTACACACACTCACCTGCTAAAAGTATCTGGATACCTTTAGCAGGTATCAAGGAACATATTATTTGATCAGATTATTGTTAATTGTATTAATGCTTTTATCATCCCTTTCAGAAAAACTGACCTACGATTAAACAATCTATTTGATGCTCGTTACGCGACCATCAAAGAAGAAATATTCTTATAGAACATTATTTCACACCATTACCAACCAAGAGATCGAACAAATAAACATATAAAATGTGCATATAGACCTCTTTGGGTTATAAAACCTTCAAGAATGATTCGATTGGATTAGTAAATAAAGTGTTCTTACTTTTTATTGGTTGGAAATTTGTTAAATGTTGATCACATAAATTGAAATGTCATGAGTCTCTTGCCTAAAGTCTCCACTCTAACCATCATTCCAATCAATTACATCATCTGATAATTTCTACTTCACCAGCTTGTCTTGTGATCTATATATGATGCGAAATTATTATTTGATCATGCACTATTATTAGTAAATTAAATTAAATTATAAAAATCAAAGCAAGTCTCTTGCCTGCAAAATTTATAGGTGCCAATTTTGGGTAACCTTGTGCCTTTTTTTAATTCCTCCATGGTAACGTGATACATCATCATAAATTAAATTTTAATATATAAGGCATGAAATCACACTACCAAAGATGACCATATTAGAATGTATTTTCTCTACAAGGCCAATAAAAAGTCGTGCGACCGTTACTTATCGCACAATTGAACAATTGAACCTTAATTTTTATTGGCCGATCTGAAACGATTTATCAATACCCTGATTTCCATTACTATTACCTAAATAAGGTATCGTACAACAAGGGACAGAAACACTCATTGTATGACAATAATTCGAAGTTCTTGGCTGCATTTTATTTTTAACGAATGGTGCGAAACGGTTACATACTAGGCAACTTATGTATTAATGTCATTATTCACTTATAAAAGAATGAAAAGAATGAATGAAGAGAATGAAGAAAACGAATGAAAAGAATGAAGAAAATGAAGAAAATGAAGAATATGAAGAATATGAAGAAAATGAAGAATATGTTGTAACAGTAATAATTAATGCAGTAATTGGTGTATATAATCAATCTCTGATAATCTTGCGCTAAATCTTTAAATTAAATTACATCACTAATTAATTACTTGTTTTTTTTTACAAAAGAAAATTCCGCCATGCGAACGACACATTCCCAAAACTTTGACTTTATTTATTACTTTTTACAATTTTTTTTTTTTTAATCTTGGTACAAATGATTCTTACAATCGCAATCAACCGAATAAAAAAAAAATGGGAATTTTGCAGCAACAATTCGGTAGATTACGCAATGATAATAATAAAATAACCAATAAAATAATCAGTCAAAATTAATTGTATAAATGTGTGTATAAATACGTAGATCATCAGTATCAATGAAAAAAAATTCCCAACTTGTTTTGTGTTAAACTTGTTTTTAGTTTCTCCTTTTTATAAAAAAAAAAAATTATATATTTTTTTTTTTTTTTGAAATATAATAAAAAATGGAAAATTTTCAAAGATCAAACAAAAACACATTAAAAAAATACCGGATAAAAAAGGATAGCCAAGAGAAAAATTGTGTTTATTTCGAACTAGTACAATATCAATGTGACATTAACAACGATCGTATCATATGTGTGCCTTTTGTCAGAATATTTAAGAGGTAAATAATTAATTAATAAGTTAAATTGAGTGTAAGAGAGAGAATATAAAATTAATCAATTAATTGGTTGTTGCAATTTATTAATACTTGTTAATGACTCAGATGTTCGAATAAACCTTTCGTAGAAGTAACACCATTCTACGATGAGAATATGGACCCAATTTTGTAATACAATGATTATAACTCACGTGGTTTTTTATCTTGGCAACCAAAAGGCTTTTAAAATTGATTGATTGATTTAGTTAGATTATATAAACTTTATTAATTAATAAATTTTATTTATTGCATATAATATACATTCAAGTTATCAATCAATCTATCAATTAAATGATCTATACAAATATGATAATACAAATAACAGAGTTAGTTTGTTATGGTGAATGAATCAAAAGATAATCAAAATATTTTTTTTACCCAAATTACTAATTATAATTAAAAAAGCAATTTCCTTTTTTTTTATTAAAGTTTTATTTTTCACGATTATTTTTCGATCTAAAATATGTTTTGAATAGTTTTGAATATTATTGTGTTATTTATATTATTTGTTTTACTGATAACAAATATGGGGTGCGTCTGTGATGTGGTGTTAAGAATATTTTTCAATTATTAATTTGCTTATTAAGTATTGTGTGGTTTGTCGTCGAACCCCGCGATAGATATTTAAAAAATATAATAATATATATAAAAAAAATTTAATATAAAAATTTAATATTAAACATTTTATTTTTCTCAAAAAATTTCTAAAAAAAAATTTTTTTTAAAAATAAATTACTATTTACTAATTACTTGGTTTACTATTTTTATTTCTATTAAGGGAGAATTTTAATAGAAATAAAATTTTCTCTTACCATCATTTAATCACTTTCGCTCAATCGTTAATTTTTTTTTTTTGTAAATTTATTAATTAAATAGATTGTAAATTTATTTTCATATACACTTTTAATTAAAAAAAAAAAAATAAAACACGTTATAAAAAATGTCTTCAGAAGAAAAGCCTGATATTATCGAAGAGAAAATAATCGAAAAAACAACTGTACAAACAATATCGTCGAAAAATGATACAAAAGAAAAATCAAACGTTGAAATAATAGAGCAAAAACATGTTGAGGTATCGGAAGATATACCTCCTGAACTGGAGGCTTTACTGCACACCGATCCTTCTAAGGGTCTAACCGCCGAGGAAGCTAGACAGCGTTTAGAACAATTTGGTAAAAATGAATTAGCTGAAGTAAAAACAAATCCTTTTTTAAAATTTTTGTCCTATTTCACCGGTGCTATCGCTTATCTCATTGAGATTGCCTGTATATTTGCTGCTATATTACAAAAATGGGTAACTTTTTTTTTTTTTTTTTTTTTTCCGATTAATAATAATTTTTTTTCTCAATTTATTAATTTTTCCCTCTTTTCTTTCCTAATTTAGCTTGAATTTGGTATTATTGTAGCTTTGCTTCTTGTAAATGCCTTCATTGGTTTCTTTGAAGAAGCTCGTGCCGAATCTGCGTTAGATGCTTTAAAACAAACCCTTGCCTTAAAAGCTAAAGTATGGCGTGATGGCCAATTTATTGAAGTCGATGTTTCTGATTTGGTTCCTGGAGATGTCATTGGTCTCAGACTTGGTGATATTATTCCTGCTGATGCTCGTTTACTCGGTATTTCTGTCACTGGTGCTGAAACTGAAGGTCATCTTTCAATAGATCAATCCGCTTTAACTGGTGAATCTTTACCTGTTGAAAAAAAGAAGGGCGACACCGTCTATTCCTCTTCAATAGTTAAACAAGGTCAAATGTTGGCTGTCGTAACAAAAACTGGCGCAAATACTTTTATTGGCAGAGCTGCTAATTTGATTTCAATTACTGTTGAACAAGGTCATTTCCAAAAAGTTGTCAACGCCATTGGAAATTTCTTAATTTTGATCACTGTTGTTTTGGTTGCTATCATCCTTGTCTATCAATTGGTTAAATACAGAGATACCCCTAAAGGTCATCCACTCGTTGTATTAGGACATGTTTTGGTTTTAACTATTGCTGCTATTCCTGTCGGTCTTCCTACTGTCTTGTCTGTAACTATGGCTGTTGGTGCAAAACAATTGGCTGCCAAAAAAGTCATTGTTAAACGTCTTACTGCTGTTGAAGAAATGGCTTCTGTTTCTGTACTTTGTTCTGATAAAACTGGCACTTTGACTCTCAACGAATTGACTTTTGACGAACCTTACCTTTGTCCTGGCTACACAAAAGATGATATTTTACTCTGTTCCTATTTATCGGCCGAACCTGGTGCAAACGATCCTATCGAATCTGCTGTTCGTTTTGCTGCTGAATCTAGTTTGGATGTATTAAAGGATAGGACAAACAAGAATGAAGTTCCCGGGTACAAAGTCACTGCTTTTATTCCTTTCAATCCAACAACAAAAATGACAAACGCCACGGTTGCAAATCTGGATACAAAAGAAGTTTTCAAAGTTGCAAAAGGTGCTCCTCAAGTTATCATTAAATTGGTTGGTGGCGATGATGATGCTGTGCATGCTGTCAATGCTTTAGCTAAACGTGGTCTACGTGCTCTTGGTGTGGCTCGTACTAAACCTGGAAATTTGGAAGCCTATGAATTGGTTGGTATGATCTCATTATTAGATCCTCCTAGACCTGATTCTGGTGAAACAATCAGACGTTGTAAAGGATATGGTGTGGAGGTTAAGATGATCACTGGTGATCAATTGATCATCGCAAAAGAAGTCGCTCATAGACTTGGTATGAATCGTGTCATCTTGGATGCTAATCATCTTGTAGATCCTGAAAAAAGCGAAGAAGAAGTCACCCAACATTGTGAAAGGGCTGATGGTTTTGCTCAAGTCATACCTGAACATAAATATCGTGTGGTTGAACTTTTACAAAAACGTGGACTGCTTGTTGGAATGACTGGTGATGGTGTAAACGATGCTCCTGCATTGAAGAAAGCAAATGTTGGTATTGCTGTACATGGTTGCACAGATGCCGCTAGATCAGCCGCAGATATTGTCTTATTGGCTCCTGGTCTTTCCACAATTGTTGATGGTATTATTACATCACGTGCAATTTTTCAGCGTATGAGGTCTTATGCTTTGTATCGTATCACCTCCACTGTTCATTTCTTAATTTTCTTTTTCTGCATCACACTGATAGAGGACTGGGAGATGAGTCCAATTCTTTTGATTCTTATAGCTTTGTTGAATGATGCTGCCACTTTAGTCATAGCTGTAGATAATGCAAAGATTTCATCAAATCCTGACAAATGGAGACTTGGACAATTGATTACTTTGTCATTGGTGTTAGGTGTACTTTTAACAGCTCTTTCATTTGCGCATTTCTATATTGCAACTTATGTTTTTGGAATTAATAAAGATGACGAGAGATTAGAGACTATCATGTATTTACACATTTCATCAGCTCCACATTTCGTCATTTTCTCAACTAGATTATCGGGATACTTTTGGGAAAATTTACCATCACCAACTTTCTTCATAGCTGTAATGGGTACTCAAGTATTTGCTATGTTCATCTCAATTTATGGTGCTTTAACTCCTGCTGTTGGATGGGGATGGGGTGTTGGTATCATAGGAGTTTCATTGCTATACTTTGTATTTTTAGATATTGTTAAAGTTGCTATATTTAAATATTGGTCATTTGAATTAACAGCAAGATTATGGCCATCAAAAGCTCATAAAACCAAGTTAAGTGGTCGTAAATCAGATGCTTTATATCAAGCCAGAATTTCTAAAAGTGTTGCAAAAGTACGTAAAGTTATTTTAATTTGTAAAGTTTTATTGGCTTTTGAACAAGCAAAGAAATTAAGCACAAAGAAAGCTATTGCTGGACCATCGACATCATCATAACAATATCATATTACAATATTGTATCGCGTTATTAATTTACTCATCATAATCATAATCATCATTAATCATCATCAAAAAAAAAAACAAATACATTAATTCATTATTCATTTTTTTAATTCATTCATTCATTCATTTATCATATATAATTTTTAATGTTTTTTTTTAAGTATATAATTTTTTACAAGTATAATTAATAGATCAATCAATAGTAATTAATAAGTAATTAATTAATAGTAATAATAGTAATAATATTTTTATTATGTAAAAATTTTTGGGAAGTTGGTTTTTCTGGTTTATAAAAATGTAACAAATTTTTAAAAAGCAAATAGATAAATAAATTTTTATTTAATTATTGGTGTGAAATTTCACTCAATCATAACGAAGCATTACACATGGAACGTACTGAACATTTCTCTACATCCATATTAGATTTTGGAGGTTAAGATGCAATTCTAAAAAAAAAAATGTTTGCAGATCTTTTCATGAATGTTTTTTATGAAGAAAACTTGGCGAGAGCTTTATTAAATGGTCATACAGCTCCCAAAATAGTTGAATCATGTGTATTTTTAACTGCTTTACAAGTCTGCATAGCGCGGAACGTCGGAGAAATCATGTAATGAAACGGAAAATACTATAATGTACCGCAAGATAATTTTTTTTGGAGTGTCACATTTAAGGTTTCTGGTCCAAACTATTTTGAAAAAAAGTAGCTTTGACAATAGTTTGAGCTTCTCAATACAATATTTTTTACAAGAATGAACATGAAAAAATTAAAAATAATTTCTCCCAATTTCGGCTATTAATAAAAAATAGTTTGGGCCTATAAAAATTAAATTTTGCCCCAAAGTGTCTCGGCAATTTCGGCTACTAAGAGAAGTAATTTCAACCCAAAACCTTGGTCACATTGACAATGGAAGGATACGGTTGATGATCACCTTAATATCAAATAAACAATGTCAACCTCAACAAACACTTGGTACCTCTCGAATCTAAAAAAAACGAATGGGCGATTTATTGTGGATCCACATTTAATATAGAAGTTGCATTAGATAAAATATGGCCGAATATTTACCCTTTTATCTCAAATGGCATTGAATATATATGGTTATCAATTTCTTCTTGTAGTGTACATAGAACGAAGTTTTTTCTAAATATAATTCAATTTTTAGATGATAATCGTCTTTACAAAGTTTAAATATGCTTTATTTTAATGGTAGTAAGATTTCTATTTTGTAATAAGAAAAATAACAAAGTTAAATAATAATAATAATAACTAATTTAACGACTGCGCAACTATTCTTTCTGATTACACACCACCAAATTGTTTAACTATGGATTCTTTTTTTTTTTTTGAAAAATCATAAAACCGCTGAATTACTGTAGAACGCATAGATATTATAACGGAAATTACGCAGAATATAGTAATGGTAATGGTAATAGTGTTTTTTAATGCATGGCATGCGTGCAGAATTTGTTTTTAGCGTGGACAGAATTAATGTTTCATCACTGTAGAAAATCATTATCCCCGGATTTGTCTATGTGTTGTGGCCGAGGCATTTTTGCTGTCCTCCTCTTCATGGCGATTTTGCAAAGGTTAATGTTAATAACAACAACATTCTAAAAAAGCAAAACAAAAAGTTGAGTTGAAACTGACAAAATATAACATTTCGTGGTCACATATAGCAAAAGAAGTACATGCCCGAAGGCCAAAAACATTTGCACAAACCGCAAAACAATGTCACTATCCGACTTTGTCAAAGAGATTGTTGCCTCTTCAAGGTGGTAGATATTACTCACAACAGATTTTGTTCCCTATATACATTGAGAACTGGTCATTTAGCATCGTAATCAAGATGTAAATAACTATATAGATAGTTACACATGGAAATTTACCTGAACTTGAATAGCTATTATGCCAAACTGATCCTTTTTTGGCTTGCATTTCAGGCATTCCATCATTTACCACACGCAAGAGCTTAAAATTGCCATCACGAATCTTTTCAGGACTAGTACTACCAATGAGGCGTGAAGATTCCAGGAATACAAGTTCATATTCTACATCATCAACCGTAAGGATCATCATAAAGTCCAATATTGTTGCTGTTCTGATGTTTGCGCCGAAGCTTGCTTTGCTCTCTTTTTCTGCACAAAACTTCATTTCATTTTGCGATTTGAAAGCAATTACAGCAATGAAAATATAATGTTCGAAACAAAGTGGTTGCAAAGATGGTTGAAAACAGGCGTCGCAACTACCATCAAAAGTTGCGATAAGTATCTATAATAATTAATTTACGTTGTAATTTGGACTTGATTCTCAAATGGCAAGTTTTTAATGCTGCCCAAATAAGTGGTACAATTATTCTGTCATGAATGTATCTTCATTCATGTCTTGCTTGCACTATAGTTTCCGAACAATGGATTATTCTAAATGTCTCGTCTGTTATAGCAAACATAATAAACATTTAAAATTTTCAGTTTAATTGTTCTTACTAGAGTTACCACTTAAACTACTCACAAAACCTCAAGATTTCATCAAAAGTTTTACTTCCGGATCAATAAATTGCTTGTTATGCAGAAATTCATTTATCTTTACCATCGTCAACAACTTACTATTATCATCCGATATTTGTGGTTTCATTCGTGCAGCAGGTTCCTACACGCGCACGCGCGCTTGCTTTAGAGTTATAAAGAGTTATGTAGTGTGTTACGCAATAAGGTTTTAGGTATAAAATGTTGGAATTAGCTTTAAAAATTTTAGTATGTTTTTTACAGACATTTATTTATTGATAAATATTTCTAAAAAATATATACACCAACTATACGCGAAAAAAATCAGGGTTACTATGAATGGTACATCTCTAGTTATAAATGAACAAACATCCAAAAATTGTAGAAACCAATGCACAAGTATACCATAAACTGACATCATAATACAGAAGGCAAGTTTTTCACAATAGCCGAATCGCTTGTGGATTTTCACACGTCAGGTCTTTTTTATCAACACTCTATGTTTTCAGCCAATTTATGGTATTTTGATCGGTTAACTAATAACAATTCAGAACCAAAATTAAATTATATGCCGACTCACTGATCTGGTCCACAGTTTTCTCATGAAGCATCGTTCAAGTAGTTGAAAAGAAAACTTATTGATGGTTGGTTATTAAGAAAATGTATCAAAAGCAATTTATCAAAATGTTGGCATGAAACCTAATATTGAAAAGATCATACCATCTTAGCTCAATTGAAATCACAATTTGATAATACGAAGAACTTGATTCAAACATTGCAGATATTAATGATACTGTCAAAATTATCAAACACAACAAGCCACCATATCTTTGAATAGAAAGTCAAATTGGCAAGAATAAATATATTTATTGGATTATGCAAACATGATAAATTTATACTAATCAATTATTATTATCAACTAATTTGAATCAAGATTCAATTGAAACGAGAATTGAAAATGAAGATGACTTAAAATCTGTTATTCAAACCAAATCAGAACCAAGACCAGCTTCTACTTTTAAATAAAGCTGAAAAGAATGTAAATTTAAATATTTTAAACTTGGTTTACTGCAGAAATGCATTTTAAGAATAAGCTAATATCTTGTTTTTTTCTATTATTAATAAACTGGAAAATATTACCCACAAACTCTTGGCGGAAATATAGGAGAATCTTATGAAGTTAGTTGTATTCAAATCAATATTTCTTACTTTGGAAAAAGTTAAAGTGCAAGTTCACTTCGAGGAACCCATATTTACACTAGTGATTGGCATTTCAATAAGGGTATTTTTAATAATTCAAATTCGAATATTAAATTATTCTCTTCTTATGATGTAATTACAATAATTAAGTTTTTGCCAGGCCGACGTGGTATATTGGTCCTTACTCTAACAATATAATTCAAGTGTTTATGATTCTTATGGGCAAATGAAGATTATAGAACTGTGACAGTCCTCTGCATTCTGTGCTCAAATGAAAAATTGTGTCAGCCTGGAATAGAGATGTTAATGCCTTCAGAAATATTCATTTCATTACAACTTACATGACAGAAAATTAAAGCAGACGACCAGATATTTTCACACAATCTAACCCAACTTGTTAAAAGTATATATTTTTAATCAACAATAATATTTATAATAGTGTTTATACATCATCAATTTATTATTAAATAAATAAACAAATTAAAAATAGTTGGTTAATGTGCTTATGGTTGCTTGAATTGGAACATAATTATTAGCATTACCAGAAGATAATCTACCAATTTCATATATATTCCAAATACCATCAATTTTGTTTTTAGAAACAACACACATTATTAAAGCTTGCGAAGATGCCGCCATTCGTATATTATATCTACATAGCTGTTCATTAGGTTTATCTGGATCATATAATTTAAAACTTGGATTGGGAAAACTCCCAATATTAGGTGAACTCCATGATGACAATATAAAATATAATTTTGTTATATTTAATGGTAAACTAGACAAATTGACCGTTATACGATGATGACCTTATTATTTATACATTACATGTATAAATTAATTAATTCATTATTAATATTAATAAACAAATTTCTTTTTTTTTAAAAAAACTATTTACCTCTTTTATTTTGAGCGTCCATCACATCACCAGAATGTAATATATCTTTTAGGTCACCGTGTATTCTTGAAGCATAATCGAATGTTCTATTAAATGTTCTATCATTATACAACATACAAGTACCATCCAAAAAATCACACAATCCTCCAGGAAATCCCCAAAATAAATCAAATGTTAAATTATTAAGTGATTGTTTTTTTGAGATCGAGTAAAGTAACACGATTAATTGTATATGACTCCCTTCTACAATTTGATAATCTGACAATTTCTTTTCGAAATGATTTTTATGATAATCCTATTAAATAAATAAATTATATATTATTATTATAATATAAATATAATATACATCAGTTATATTATTTATATAAACGCCACCTCTAATTCGACTTCATTATAAATTAATTTTTGTTTAGTGACTTCTATTTTAATTTCTGAACTTATCGCTTGTTTAAGAGCGAGGATAGTTTTGATCTTTTCTAACCTTAATTGGATCTTATGACCATCTAACATTACAACATAGAAATTTCCAACGAGGTTTGTTCTATTAACGAAAGAAGTACTTGGTAGTTTTTTATTATCATCGATAACATTTATACTGTTAATATCAATCTTGAAAGAAGCTTGGTCCCATGAAAATCTTACATTTTCAATTTCTTTTTGATTTAAAGAAGTTCTACATTCAGGACATTGTCTTGAATTTCGACCATTCAAATAATTTGTTATACATTTTAAACAAAAACTAGGAACGTGTTGACACTTATTACTGATAACGTCGGCTGGAAATTCACGAGATAATTTGTCAACTTGACAATTTTTACATTTCATTTTTATTTATGTATTTTTGTTCAAAAAAATTTTGAAATAAAATGAATGAATTTTTTTAAAATTGAACCATTGTTTACTATTACACCTACTTCGATTACACTAACCGGTTCGTTTTTTATTTTGATCGGCGGCTATCTTATACTAAAAGGGGCATTATTGTGTAGGTTGTAAATCTATTGAATGATAACTTGGAAAAACAAAATCTTCTTCGATTAATTTTCTTAATTGATTGACAATAAATTTTTCCAATTTTCCAACATTTTTTAAAACTAAAAAAATAAATTTATATTTAATAATTATTGTTTTTGAAATACTTTATACATGTAAATTTTTTATAATGTATTTAAAAATTAACCATAATTGATCATACTTTACCTTGTTTCTCTTTATCTCCAATTTCAGATTCAATGTGAACATCCTTCAATGGGCTTTATATATATAAGAATATGTATAATGTAAGCAATAAGTTGGCAAGTTTTATTAGATATTTATAATATTAATAATTATTATTAGATTATTAAATTATCTAACCTTTCTTCAGGATTTTTTGATTCCAAGAAACAAAAATTAACTCTATTTTTAAAAAATGCTACCACTGCTGTAGCTATAATATTATATATTGGATTTTTTTAAGTGATGATAACAAATTAAAAATTAAATTGGTGATAATAATAATAATTATAGAGAAAATAGAAAAATCACCAGAAAACTCAAATCCAGTGACATTCAATCTAATCGGTAAACTCATAAATCTCATACTAGGATAATTCATAAACAATTCTGTTGTAATTGTCATTTTCATATCTCCTTTATATGATATCGCAACATGTATTTGTGTATCCGTTGTATCTTGTAGAATTGACACCTCCTCTTCATGTCCTTCCTCATGATCTTGCTCTTCTACAATTTCTTCTTCCTCTTCTTCCAGTAATTGTTCTTCAGGTGTTCTAACAAAATGTAAATGTTCTTTTTCTTCTACATATTCTACAATATATTCAGTATCTTCATCTTTGTAACGATGATGATAATAATGATTATTACTATTACTATTATCATTATCATTATAATTATAATTATCATTATTGCTATATTGAAGAAATGATTGTTTATTTCGATTTTGTTGCTTTTGATGCTCTTGTTGTTCGTAATAAATATATTCTTGAGTTCTATCTAAAATTATTTGCATTGGAGCTGTCATATTATTATTATTATTATTACTACTATTACTACTATTATTACTACTATTGCTATTACTATTACTATTAATATTAATATTAGTGTTATCATTACATAGTTTATTTTTGTTTCCGCCACCATTCTTGCCACTACTACTATCACCATCGCCACCACCTGCTACATTATTATTATTATTAACAGCTGTTCCATCACTTAATGATTGTGATTCTACGCTGTCAGTACCACTCTCAACTTCAACTGTTGTTGCACTATCAGATAAATAAAATTCCGGGAAAGGATCGGTTATATCTATAACTTCTATTAGTGGTGGTATTGTACCAAAATCAAGATCTGAAATTTCTATGTCTCCTATAAACGAAGGTTTGTTATTAATAGTATTATTACGAAAATGATTGTTTAATATAGTTTGAACCTTATTTGCAACCTCACTGTCTAACTTTTCCCAAAATATATCAAAGGACATGTTGCTGATTCTAAACGCAAACAAAAATTTTTTTAATTTTAAATTTTAAATTCGAGATCAGCAGACATATACGTCATTCATCCAATTTATTAGAAGCAAAAAAAAATCTGTAGATGATAGTGATCCTATGCACTCTTACACTTGCACAGAATTTTAGGCACATAAACCAGCTCAAACAAACACTTTGTCCCGTGCCATTTTCCTCCTTCATAACTAGTTTTAGTTTTCTCGGTTCATGATTCATAGGTCTAACTTTGCCTATCAAATTAGTTGAATACGTTTGTAAATTCAAAACTCGTGATTTTGACATTTATGAAAAAAAAATTAATTATATAATATATATATATTAATATATATATATATAAAGCAATAACTAAAAAAATAAAAAATACATAAATTTTTTTTTTTTAAAGCTAATTTAAAGATGTTTTTTTTATTTTATTCATTATAGTTTTTCTTTAATAATTCGGTTGCCTCTTCAAGTGCATTTTTCATCTCTTTATTCTTCAGATCAAGTCCCAACCCAATTTCAAAACTTTTGATTGCCTCCTGATATTTTTTCATTCCCATCAAAGCTTTACCTTTTCTAAAATATCCTTTTGGGTAATTTTCTTTTATCCTATTAGAAAATTCTGCATCCACATATGCACTAACCCAATCCTCCAATCCTATATAAGCTGCTGCTCGATTACTCAAACAAATTGCCAAATCTTGTTCTGCAATTTCATGTGGTTCCCAAAACGGTCGCTGGAAAGCCAGTTCTATAGCTGTAGTATAATGTTTTATTGCATCATTATAGCTTTGTGCATTATAAAGCTTGTTGCCTTCATCTTTAAAACCTGTTATTTGTTTGGAAACATACTGATCCACAGCATTTGGAGGTGGTATATTGCCTTTTATTGCCAATAATGATTTGTGAAGCGAGTTTAACGGAGCTAGATTTAAATCACAAGTTGAACATGTTTCAAGATGGTGTGGTCGACAGTATATTATGTCATCTTCAATTAATAAATCTCGAGGTTTATAATTATAAATACTCATTTTTTATTTTATTGGAGATGTCTAAAAATAATAGACCATGTTGCACAATACTTGTTAATCACAAAATATATATTTAATATTAAAATCGAGCGAGCAGTCTTGGGATAATTTTATTGATTCTGGAGAATTATTAAGATATTTGATATTTATAATAATAACAATAATAATAGTGGTAATAATTCACTTGTAAAGAATTTGCAAATGCCTCAAAAAATTTTGGGTAGTAAAAGAAATATAATTGGTTCAATTAATAAACTGCCTCTGGATGATATTTATTATGCTTCCAAAATAATTTTGATCAAACAACCCTTCTGTTAATTGATCTTTTTGTCATGCTTTCGACAGATTTTCCTTAGTAAGTCTTTATATATATAAAAATATCTTTATTTAATTAAAGTTTTCAACTTTTTTCCTTTAAAAACCATTGCATCTACTATTCAATTTATCATTTAATTTTAACGACTAATTTCTTTTATTCTATTTCCTCCTACAGTCATTCAAGAGCTTGTTTAATTTGCCAACTAGTTCATTAATTAGATTATCGATCCATTGTACTAAGTTTCAATTAATTCTTTAATAATAATGAGAGTTTTTTTTGGTATCTATCAGCGATCATCAAGTTGGTTTTTATTTAAATGAAAGGGACAAAATGTTCAATAGTTTTTCATCATTAGAAAATATTATCTAACAACCTTATAACTTCTATTGAATACAACTCATCATCAAGATATATTAGTAAACTTGAATGATCGAATTTTTATGATGCAGAAATTAGAGTTGGAGTGGATGAAGGAGAATGTTAAAATTTTTTAAAGTTCATTCCAACATTTTAAAAGCAAGATCCTTATATTTTAAAACAGCTTTATCAAATAATTGAATTAAAAGATCTGATGATGGTAGTATTATTTTATTTGAAAAAGGAAATATAAAAGCATTTGAAGTCATGTTATTATAAGATTTGATTTATTGAACTATCATAACAATTTATTTATTACTTGTTTATTTAAAGATATCTTTACAATGGAGTTGTTAATGTAGATAATTTAAATACTGATGAAAAAACAGAATGGAATCATCAAAATATAATTTATCTTTATAAAATAACAATCATACACATTAATTCAAACTAATTGTGACGTATTGTTTTGCAGTAATCCGGAAATTTTTTTAAAAAAACCTAATGGTAAAAATGGAAACATCACAGATATTGAAAAATCTATGCTAATGTCTTTATTAGAAAATGATAATTTGGAATTATATGAAATAAATGTTTTGGACTACATTATTCAATGGGGAACAACAAGTCAAACTAAAGATTTGGAAAGGATATTCAGAACCAAAATTCATAATTGAATAAGATCCAAGAGGAATAGGAAATTTATTAAATTTAAAAGTGAAGTTCTTACTTTCTAATTAGATTAATAAAACATATTACTCACATTACATTATTAATAATGATTGCTAGATCTGTTTTTGAGGATAAATGTCACACACTGTGACTAAATGAGAGTTAAAGAAACTGCAGAATTAGTTGGTGGATGGACACAACCTAGTTTGTTGAAGTATTGAAATAAATCATTAAGAGATTTAAACAAATAAAAGTTCTATTTTCAAGATCGATGAAAATATTGATAATTCTAAGGAGAGCCGAAGATATATTAATTAAACATGCAAAGAATTCATGATTTAAAACTATGTAACAGTATTAATCATGAACCTTATTATTATCACTATTTGATTATGATTGTTCATATGGAACTTATTTAAATCTTAGAAATAAAAATAAAACAGTTCATTTGATAAAAGAATATATATAGAATAATAGTAAAGAAAAATTAATTTTAAATATATTATTTTTATTTTTTGTGAAATAATGCATTTCTTAATAATGGATATTTTATAAATATATGATATATAACGAATAAAAACTAAAACAACAATAACAAGAAGATTTATATATTTATCATGGAAGGACCAAGGTTAATTTTTTACAAACTTTGCAAGAAAAGGTCCAATAGTTAAATCATCTAATTCATCAGAAACTTGTTGACAAATTGGAATAATCAAATGATGAATATTCTCAATTTGTTCTCGAATCAATTTGTTTTGATCATTTATTAGCTTTAGATTATTTTTTTTGGCATCTATTTCTCTTCTTGATTTATCTAATTCACAGTCCACTTCATGACATTTCTTTGTTGCATGCCTTTCCAATCTAACCAATGATTGTAATTCTCTTTCTTGATCTAAGATTTAATTATAATTATTATATGCATGTTAATTAATTTTACATAATAATTAATAATGAACAATTTGTTTTTTACCATCATGATAACGATTAAAAGATTCTGAAAATATTTGAAATGGAACATCTAATTTCTTAAGTTGATGATCTTTTGTGGGTAAAAAATTAGTTTAGTACTCATTCATCTTACAAAATTTAGAGAAAAAGAAAAAAATCTTTACTTGGAGTTGAATTGTTGAAAGGACCTCCTATCATTGGACTTTGAGTTAAAAACTAAAAAATAAAATAAAATAACTCAAATCATTTTATATATATATAAATGTAAATATAATTTTTTTTTTACATTGTAACGACTTGTTATGTTATTGGTGACACTGCCATTGCTATGATTAGGATTATTATTGATATGACCATTGACGATAACCCCATTGCCATTTCTGGACCTTAATGCGCGTCTATTTGACGTCGGTGATCGAGAACTATTTCCTTCTATATATATATATAGATTACACGTTGTTAAAAATTTAATGTAATGTATAAACATATTAATTATAATTGACCATTATCATAATCATAATTATTCTCTTCTCGTTTCTCCTCTTTTCCTTCAGCTTCTTCATCAACTTCCATAGAAGAAGATTCTGCACTAGTATCTTCGCGTTCTTCTATTACATCGCCGTTTGGAATGTAGTCCTCATCATCATCAGACTCGTCAGAGCATTCTGTATTCATATTTAACCAAAAATCTTTGCCTGGACTTTTCATATTTTCTTTTGTTTTAATAATATTATACCTTTTTTTAAACAAATAGGTTGATTTATTATTATTATTATTATCTGTAATATGGTTGGCTAGACCTCCTATTGCTGCGCCATGCGGCCAAATTTCAAAATAGCAATTTTGTAATTCGTAATAAATTTTTCAAAAAATAGGACTTCACGTGATTTTAGTTTTCTTACTGCCAAATTTAGATAAGATAGTCAATATATAGTCTAAATTTAGTAACATTCCTAAATTTAGAAATGATCGTAGTAAACAAATTCCTCGCGAGCATAGTAAGTACATGTTTTAAAAAAGAATAGAACTCTACAACAAATAATTTTTTTGAGAAAATCTCTCTATTACATTAAAACCAAAGACGTGTTCTATCAACCAACAGAGCTATTGTTTTAAAAGGTAGGACAGAAAGTGACTTCTATACTTTTAATATTTGCCCAAAATTTAGGAGGCCTTTAGGCCGAACCGACTATACATGCAGCCCAAATTGGTTTGGTCCAATTTTGATGGTAGAAAGTAGAAATTAATTACAGCATTCACTATTAAAAACATAAGTGTAACACCCCTTTACTACACGTGTAACCCCCTTTATGACAGTGTCAAAATACTTTGGGCTGCATGTATAGAACCGACTATATATAGTGACTTAATTCGCAGATCATTTATAATTGATTAGCCCTAGATTTGAGCCGCTAAATTTCAGTGACCCAAATAAGCAACACAATCAGATTTCATTATCCTCAACAGTACAATGCACAAAAGAATTTTCACGATAAATGATTTTCTGAAAAAATCTTAACTCAATGAAACAAGAGTTCACAGTTACAGAAGATCTTCCAAGTGTCACTTCTCAACTTGCTACATATGGGATGAAAGCACAAGAGGAGGGAGATAAGGAAATCTTTTTAGTATGTAGTTCACATTGGAATATGATCAAAGAGGGATCCTGCATTTACAATTCTAAGCATGAAAGACTTGGACCGTTGCTGTGCTGGAATTCAATTTGAGCCCTTTACACTGTATATATTGATTTATCAAATGCAAGTAGAATTTACACTTCAAAGAAATAAAACTCATCATTTTAAATAAAATTAATCTTTAAAACATCCAAAAAACGGTAACATATATTCTATGTATATTAACAGTCAAACAATATGTCACAGGAAGTGTAATTACATATATAAAATAGAAAATCCGACTCGTGTAACAAATCAGTTTTTTAAAATATC